GATTTATAGCACGAAAACATCGTAAAACACGAAATTTAGAAAATTATGGAATAGGAAGGACAACTTGCAGGTTTCGAGGAATATTTATACATATAGCTCGCTTGTTGTTTGTGACACCCTTGGTATTACCGAAAAAATGTATATAAACATGTATATGAATAGTATTAAGTCTACCATTTAGATCTTTGAAAATGATACGAATAATCCAAAAGCGGGACAGATTGGAATATGATTTCGCATGGGGTTTAATTGGAACCTACATGACATGATTGCCACTATGCATACATGATCCGATAAAAAAGAAAACAGAAATCTATGTAGATGTTTTATTAACACCATTCCTGTCAAGTCTGAAGTGATTTTTGGCGTTTACGTTTCAGAGATAAAAATTTGACCCTTTAAAATCAAGAGTTGCGTTTTCGTCTGATAAATGAGGAATATTGACATTTGATTTACTATATTGTATTGCTGCCTACAGTAAATTGGCAAAGAAGAGTGAGAGAAGAAGATAACAATTTCTTATAATTTTGCATGTTTTCTAAGGGAAACCATTGTACATTGTACATGTAGCATCCTCAATATAAAATAATAAGATTCGATAATATTGCAAATGAATCAAATATCTACCAGAGTCAAAGTGACGAGGATGTGATCAACTATATGTCACTGTTCGGTCATTAACGATGAGCAAAACCCATACTCTATAGTTCGCTATAATAAGCCCCGAAATGACAAAATGTAAAACAATTCAAAAAAAAACCTGGCTTAACTTAACGTGCATTATAACATTTTTTCTCTTTGAAATGTTTCTGAATCATCGTTTCCAACAATTGGAAAAGATGTGCTTTGTTGGGTCAGACGAAAGAAAAACTCTCGTGTGGCCATGTTTCTTTTAAGACCGTTTTAAACATTGTTGATATCAATAAAAGATGCTGGGTATACTTCGATGAGACAGCAACCCTGCAAAAATTAAAAAATTAAAACGAACGATACCAAGTAATTTGTCCAAATATGGTCTACTAAAAATAATAGACAAGTTACTATACAACTTGTTAAGCTGTAAAACGTCCGTTTCTACAAACGTTTGGTCATGGAAAACATGAAATGTGTTTCGTTAAGATTTACTTAAAATTTAACTATAATATCATAACAGTCATTACTTTTACAAAAATATACACGTACTAATGTATCATCATCTGATGAAAAGCTTAAATCAGCTGAAGTGACAGATACATGTAAATAAATGTATAAGGCTTTAATTCATTGTGTGTAATGATGAACTCATTAGATGTTAATGTTTTAGTTCTAAATATAGATAAATGTAACATCTTTAGAATCCTATAGAATTCATATAAATAGTTATGACAAAAGTAAAAGAAAGTACCAGAATGTGAAAAAGTAATAGCAGGTCAATTTGACGCACACGTTGGGTTTACCAACATTATAAATAAGCTACATCTACTAAATTATGTATATAGACGAGAATACTAAATTTCTAAGTTAAAACACCTGTCTTTGTGTGGACAGAGGTAGAGCCAATTTCCCCTGTATTTGTTACCCTTGCAGTGTCAAAAACTTAAAGTTGTTGAAAAGTACTACAATTTGAATACTTAAGAGTGTAAACTATCATATCATATTGCATCTATCTTCATGTATAAAAAATGTTCATACTCAGATACTTCTTAATTCAAAATTTCGATTTATATCAAAGTTTGTAATTTATCACCCATATCAAGTAACAAAATTTCATTTTGCAAATTTGTAAGAAATATCATATTTTATAACGAGGCCCTTCAGGCCGTAAGAAATCATGTTTAATCCTACATAGATTTATGTAATGGTGTATTGTAAATTATATAACAGAATCAATTACAGTGACACTATAAATTATATTATTACATGTATTCCATTTAGCAACAAGTCCTAATTAATTTGAGTGACTTTTTACATAACCCTGTTATTTATGTTTACTTCTGTGTGTTTTATTTACATGTCTAGTTGTCTACTGAGAGGTCTGTTAAAAGGATATACTATAGACTTACATCTATAATAATTTGATCTCAAGCCAAATTTAGGAATACGTAATCGGGCAAATCATGAACAGACTCCAGGACATTTCAGTGTAATGCAAAGTAAATTACTTTTATATGTACATGTATGTTCAAACTGTTGGTTAGGCGACAAGTTGAACACCAATGAAATGATTTACTGCGCTATTGAGAAATGAGACTTACAAAAATATTTATAAAAAATTTCATTTTGAAGCGGAAGATACTTGAGGGGGTGGGGCACAACAAAAGGAAATACAGACAAATTTATGGTCCAAAGAAAATAACCTTTTTTTTTTCTTGATAACAAGGTTTTATTTTTTTCCTTTTTTATAATTTTGATATTTTACCATTCACCTGTGATTTAATTTTACTCATTGGCAACACTATTTCTGTATTCTAATGTAGACTTTTGACATATACATGTAAAATATTCAGACACAAACAAAGAATAGTTTATCATTTGTTTCTTTGCTGTATAATGTTATTTCTTTCATCGACATTTTTACGATGTGAAAAAAGACCGTGTCAAGACCTCAATAAAAATGGTAAAAACGACATAATTTTCCAATATTTCTTCACTTCAAAGTATGTATCGATATATCTATATATATAATGATAAGGAGATGTTGTATGATTGCCAATGAGACAACTATCCACCAGATTTCAAATGTAAGTAATTATAAGGAACCGTACGGCCTTTAACCATGAGAAAAAACCCATACCGTATAGTCAGCTATAAAAGGCCCCGACATGGAAAATGTGAAACAATTCATACGAGAAAACTAACGGCCTAATTTATAACAAAAACAATTTACGAAAAAACAAATATGACAGATATAACCCAACGACAACCACTGAACTACAGGCTCATGATTTGGGACAGGCACATAAGAATGTGGCGGGGTTAAACATATTTGTTAGCGCTCAACCCTCTCCTATATACCTGTATGTATGTATTTTCATCCTTTCAGCAATAAATAGAAAAGGTCTTTTCAAAAAGCAAATTGCATTCCTGCATTTGATTTACAACTACTTTAAAAATTTGTATTTTTATTATTAGGCCACTAGGTACTGGTTGTAGTGTATTGAATACATCATAGTATGTAACAGTTGTCTAGTTGTCAGTTAAGTGAACAGTCTGTTGTCCGTGTTGTATAACATATAATAAATGTACAAGATGGCAACCTGTTCTATATTCTATCTACTAATATTCTATAAACGCTTGTTGACTGATTAAGGGAGTATTCATTTAACAATTAATGTTGTAGTACCAGACACTGTCAACGTATATGTGTTAAAAATGTAATGCCATAATATCTGTTCCTGTTGGAACAAATATTCTATACCCTTTATTCCTTTAGGAACAAATATTGTAATATTTGTTACAGTGGAAATTATATTACAGAATATTTCTTCCCCTTGGAACTTATATCATGAAGGAACTTCTATTTCATGACAACACAAGTTCATTAAGTTATTATAAAGCAATCAACATATGATATATGAATTATCTATTTTCTAAAACTGTATTTTATTTTCATTTTCTTATAACAATTTGTTGGCTGAATTTTCTTGTTTCGTCTGTGAGATAACACAACTGTATTTGAAGTCGTCATATGAGGGTGTGCTGTAAGGAATTAATGTCGCCATGAATAGTTGCTACCATCAGCTTGGGATGATGATCGCCATGAAGAGTTGCTGCACTGCAATCAGTTGGAGATTATGGTAGAAAAGTTGCTGACGCCAGTTCGGAATTTATGATGGTCGCAGTTGCTGTTTCTCTTTCGAGAATAACCTGATTGCATGTTTTAAAGAAGGCTGTTAAATTATTAGAGAGACGTGCACATTCTAAATTTCATTTATTGATGTTGCAAGGTTTTAATACTAAATATATTAAATTCGACTTTATCATCTTGAAACTTAATACACCACAACTGAACAACCACACGACCCACATCACGATTCATACGGTCTGGCGGGATTCCAGTGATGGTACCTATATTTTTTTATCCGATTAACCCGGAAGTTGGTTTGGTGGAATGACCAAACACGTGTTTAGTATTTTTGAAAAATATTGTACTTTCAAACAGCAAATAAATACAACTTCCTTAGACAAATTTGACCTTAGATAGTTTGTGCCTTAAAGTTTGTAATATCCCAAATATTTGTGCTTATTGCCAAATTTCCATTTGTTTAACCCGTATCGAAAACCACATGAAATGTAATAAATTTAATAAGTGTGATTGTTGTATTGAGTACATAGATTTGGTGTTATCGTAATGTCGAAAGTTTGAATGTTGCTTAAATAATATGCTTCTAATTGAAAAAAATATGGACTTCAAATTTTTAGATATGATATATAATTATATGCTTTTATTACACAATCACCCTCTAGTACGTCTTAAAGTTTACTGTAATATTATCCTTTCATTTGCATATCATTCTTACGTGACTCAGGAAAAAAATTCTCTCTCAACGTGTTTTTTTTGTTTAATTTATTTAAATAGTGCAAAACTAAGAACATTTTTCTATTTGGAATTTGACAGACACCATTCTTGGCTTTTGACTGCAATACAGATTCTCTAACAAGCGGATGACTGCTCTCGGAACAGAAGAAAATCCACCTCTAGTTACAAAAATGTGGCTCATTATATCATATATTAATCGTAATAAATGCAACTGCGATGTAATGAAAAAAAGATATAAAAGTCAATGGTTTGGTGTTTCATGTTCTTGTGTCATTTTCTTAATGTCAATCATAAAAACGATATGTCAGAAAATATCTCCGTTTCCACATGTATACCGACTGAGGTCAAGCAATTCTCTAAGGTCAAATTCGGTCATTTATTATTTTATCACCGGACCGTGCATTTACCGTTTTTCCTTGTCATTCCATCTATAGTTGTACTGCCCCGAAGCAAACACCTTCAAATACTAGTGTCTTCATCCTTTTCTGCCATTATAATCTTGAATTGCATACAAACATGTACGAAGCTTGGATATTACTATTAAGTTTCATTCATGTGATTCTTGGATATCCAGATGGCGCACCTGAACGTGCTTGCTTTTACATGACACCAAGACATACACATCCACATACAGGCCAACCGTGTTTAAAACAAACTGGGCCAGCCCCATATAGAATTACTGTGTCTAATACAACTTTTACTGCTGGAAATGCCATACATGGTAAGTTTTTATTTCAATGTCATGTTATTTAAAAGCTATTTATATTTTATGGTTTATGCTCCTTTTTAAGTCTGAATAGACCGAGTATGAATAAAGATAATATTCGGTTAAATTAGCGGGTATCATAGAGGTTCCGTAGATAGAATATTACAAAAACATGAGATGATATAATTGAATATAATATTCAAATTCCAAAAGCAATAGAGTCTTTGCTTGGATCTATTGATTGATAGTTGGTGGTTTAAAACCAGTTGTGCTGTTCATGATATCATTTATTATTTCTATACAAATTCAGTGACCACTTCAAAAATAAAGGTCAAAACTTTCTATTGTGAAAACAATTCTTTACTGAAATCGACAGAAAGATCAAACGTGATGAACCAAAAAAGATTAAGATTGGAAATTAGTGAAATAAGTGAATTACAAATTTACAAAAAATTAACTCTAACGGTTTCAGAGAGCAGTAGAAAAGGGGGTTACAGTGTATTCTAATTTTCAAATATTTCGCAACAAAAACATATTTCACCAAACAATATTGTGAGATTGTTCAACATGTGCTATTCTTTAGTATGTACCACAATTAATAATTAATTGTAAAAAATATCTATGTAATCTTAAGTTATTTTTCATGTTAGACAATGACATAAAATCGCCATAAATCTTTCTGATTTGTTTTATCGTTTCTATTATTTACCGGCTATAAAGCAAAATAAAGCGTCACAATACTGATAGTATAATTATACAAAACTATTACAAAAAATGTGGAATGTTTTTGTTATATATTATTGTTATTTGTGTCGTGACGCTCGTCACATGACACTGTGATGTTGTATCCCTCTCGTCTTATCCTTTATTTGTCCAATAATTACTTTTGACATTTTCCTGGTGCATACATATTCCAATATAAAACATAACCACAAGTTGTTCATTTCAATTAACGTCATTATACTAATAATAATATTACATCTTGTTGATGTCCAAAAAAAAACGACGAAAAGATAAACAAGACCACAAACAAACAACACAGAAAACCCAAAATTGACCAACTCGAACCCCATTCAACTCGGGTGCTCTGAAAGAGACAGCAGTTTCTAATCTATAAGTTATACTTTTTCGTGTTACTCATGTCAAGTAAAAACTCGGAAATAAGCCGTTTACGGTGATGTCACAGTGTAACCTTGAGTTTTTCGTGTATTTTTTGTGAACTGTTGTTTGTCTTTCCGTCATGTTTCTATTTGGCCATGGTATTGTCTGTTTAGTCTTCTACTTATAATTTTTGATTGCCCTCTTGGGATCTTTTCTACCTTTCATACGAAAAATGGTGAACATTTATTTATATTTATCTGAACTGCAGGTTTGATTAATAATAATAACAAATGCTTGATTGGTTGATTGTTATAAGTAAACGTCCAGTAGCAAATATTTCATGACGAGAACAAATAAAATAATACCACAAGAGAATTTAAGAGAATTACTACCGAAATTGAATTACTACCTATTAACAAATCTAAAAGGAAGGCTCTGCAAACTGGTACGACATGGGTTAAGGGTTTGGAATTTTGACTGCCACTGAGAGTACATGTAAATCGTTTGTTGCCTTGCAAAAAGCTACCTACAAACCCTCATAGGTCAATATTTTAATTACTTGCTTTTGTCTTTTTTATATATACTTGTATTCTACTGTGTATAAAGTACGTAGGTTTCTGAAATGTTATGGCTGAGGAACTCCATATGGTGCTGACAATACATTTTACTGTAAACACACTATATCGAGGTTCATAAAATGAGTTTTAGTCGTATAAAGAGGTTTGTATCGTAAAATGTATGGAGTTGTATAGTAAAAAGGTGTACAAGTCCTTTAATAAGGCGTGTGTCTTATAATTGGTCGTGTGTTGTAAAATGGGATAGTGTCATTTGATACTAGGCTTATGTCGTAAAGGGTCGAGTGTTGTAAAATAGGCCTTGTGTTGTAAAATATTATTTTTGTCGAATAATGGGGGATTGTGCAGTATAATGGAGCTGTCGTAAAGTTGAGCTTATGTCGTACAACAAGGATTGTTTCAAATGTCATGACCGTTTGGATAGAACACGATTTCTTTCGCAGAGACATACAGGGGTCTGATTCCCAAAGTGTTAGTCTTCAGTTCTGTTGTTTGTTTACATATATATTCATTATTTATAATATGGTATGTTGTTTGTTTGTGCATCCGTTATTGTCTGCTTTCGTGTTTTGCGGGTTGCCACACGCGCCAGAGTCTTTTTAACTGTTACGATCTATCGCCATCACGTGTTTGTTGATCATTAAATTGACTTAGAACTAAACTTAATATAGGAACGTTTACTCTATTTGTCAATGTGGTACATTGTTATTAGCTGTTTCATGTTCCTCCCTGTGATATCAGTATTGAGTATGGCCGTGTATTTTCATGGCAAAAAAACAAAAACTACGAAAAGAAAAGCAACAGTCTACAAAACACTTTAAAAGTCTTTAAAAGTAGAAACTGAAAAAATAGTTGTTTTCTCTGAGATAGAACTGGATTATTATTAGTCAAATAAAGGTGTAGATATATAGATTCTACATAATATATCCAGTAAATCAGAACTTTTACTTAAAACACGTGTTTTCTATGGATGATACATTATATAACTTTATGATGTATGAATCATAAACTAAAGCAAACCTTTTGCATTAACTTGTGGATCAAACCTACAACATTATGTCAAACGTTCACACCTTTCATGTACAAACAAGTATGTATTGCAATTATATTTCACTTGGAGCACATAAACATTATTTTTTTTTTTACCCTACGTCAAACTAAAATACAATTAAACATGCGACACAAGTACAAGATTCTAGACCAAAAGTGTATCTTACAAAAAGCATGTAATCAAAGCTCTAAACTAAGACAATTGAAAAGAGTTATTGATTAATACTAAGTGCTGTTGATGATAATCCAGACTTAGTGGCAAAGGTATCTAATGGTAGAGTCCTAGACAAACAACAGGTTTTATGGCAATAAACTATTCTCCTGTACGTATGTGTAGGATATGGCAAGACGAGTATGCAAGAGTGACATACTAACTGATTATTGTCTGACGTTAATTTGCCCTGCAACGATTGTCGACAGTCCCCGTTCCTGGCAAGTATTGTAGCCGTCGCACCTCAGTCATTATGTACTGATCTGATACACGTATGACTTAAAACGTCAATATGATGTATTTTTAAGATCGTTACACAACAAAAGGGTTGATTCGTTATATAACATAAGAACAACTGTATGCTATTGTCTCTGAAAAAAAATAAGATTTTGAATATAAAATTGTTGGTCGGCACGGAATACAATATCTCAATTTTTCATACACATGATTGGTTTGATCCAAATATAAAGTTCTGGCAATCATGTTTTCAAGATTATATTTTCTAATATAGGCATTGCCTATAATCGTGTATGCATATTTTGTACGCCAGATGAGCGTTTCTTTTACATAAGATTCATCAGTGTTGCTCGAATTTAAACAGTTTAAGTTTTGTGATGACACTTTATTAAAATAAATAATAGCCAAAAATATTATGTTTATGATTAGTTTCATCGATTGCGCTAAAATCACAGCATAGATAAGTCTGATAACAAAATAATGGAAATTAAACTTTTTTATCTGAAATATAAGCCTCCACCGAAAGAAATAAAAAATTGCAAAATTAAATGAGGATTTTCATATATTGGATTAAAATGACCTCTTATCAGATTGATTATTTCCCAGGGTCAAGCACTATTTCCCCCTCAATTTTCCTTTCAGTATCACCAGGCCCTTTTTACCTCCTTTTATATGTTGGTCAAATGTGAATTGGTTTTATTTAAGAAATAATCGAAATAAATAAGCATGCAATATTTGCCACTGCACTTAAAGCAACTATTAATAAATCAATCTTGAGTATCACAGTTATTATGTAAGCAATTGAGTTGACTCAAATAAGATGAGACTCGTTGGATGAAATAAACACATTCCAGTATATTTTCCTGGTCGTTGGACCACTCATCTTTACACTAACTGTGTAGAAATTTGTGTAAATGTCAAAATAGCGATACATTGTATTTTTTTAAGGTTACGAGTGTTTTTCAAGCAAAGACAACACATTATTTTTCGTTCCAGTTAACAATTTTGGCTTATGACATTTAGTACATTTTTTATACATAGAAGATTAATGCATTCCTTCATTGGGGCCACCTTAATGTCACCACTCAACATCAGTAGGTTATATGTAGCCTGAACAAATGACCGTCACATATCAAATGTCATTCTGTTTATTCTAAGTGGTAAATAGACAAACAATGTCCTTTATTTTATGTCTTCTGGTATCTTTTTTAAATTTAAAATTGAGAATGGAAATGGGGAATATGTCAAAGAGACTGTATATATAAGAAGTAAACATAGAATAATAATAGTAATAATATTATAATTAATAATAATAATAAAAAAGTAATATCAATATATGAAGCTAAAACAAAATTCTTCTTTAATATAAAAATAAGGAAATGTGATATATGATTTCCAATGAGACATCATCCATCAGAGTCCAAATCACCTGGATGTAAGTAAAATAAAATAATTCCAGGATTCATTACTTACTCAATTCCAATTAGAGGTATTTCATATGAACTATTGACTAAAGGTAGGTACAGGTGGTCCCTTATATCTAAAAACAGGTGTTCATTGTTGTAGCAAAGTCACAGTACAGTCAATGAACACATTTGACAGAAATAATTATTGTGAAGACAATCTAGGTCGACATAACACATAAAGTGAAATGTGAAAAAAAATCCCCTTTTTGAACTCCTATCGTTGACCTGTTTGGAGAAATAAATGCAGGCACTAGAATACAGTATTTGTGCATTTTAAAGTTAATATGAAGCTTAACTTTGTTTTAATGGTCCTGACTTTGAAAATCCTTAATACTAACTAATGATTGACGAAATTTATCTTTAATTGCAATTTTCTGATAAATTCATAGATACAAGAATTCATTATTTGATTTTATGTTTTAAAGAAACATACAGTTATATTTTCCGTTACTCAAAATACACACATTAACCTACGATACTGTGGATTTTCATTAAAAATATTGGACAATTTCCGTGCTAGTGAATAAAAAATGTCTTTGCTTTTCATCCTGAATTAGTTAATTATTTTGACTCTATAACGGCTAAAGAACACCTTTGACAGATGCAAACTATGAGAAGGCTCATTCATTTCAAATTTCCAAGCTCGCACTTAAGATTCAGACTTGAACATTTAGGAAAGATGATACAATTCCCGCGATTTATTTTTTTTTTACCAAAATTAAGATGTTTGATTTCAAAATTTATACAACCAAAACGATAATCAAATGTCCGCATGTTGTAGATAAGATTTCAGAATACAGAACATAATGCTACTTTGAAAGTATGTGTTTCTTATTACTGTTTCTATTAAACCGCGTTCATGAAGATTATACACAATTGAGCCTTCTTTACTCGAATATATATAAGTCAAGTCTTCTCCGTGTTCATTTCTTTCATACTCTTAGTCCAATCAGCAAACTATTGTACAAATAAACAGGTACTCAAGTAAATATCTGCTTGATTTATACTTGAACAAATAAAGTATCATGTTACTTCGCATCCATGTTGAACAAGCTGTAGTGTAAATAGTTCTTTTTTGCGTGACAGGTTATTTTAGGGTCCTCTTTGCGGTCCGTGTTACAGGTATGCTGATTTCTTTGAAAAGTTAGAGACAACTATTTGGATTTAAACAACTGAAACTTCAAGTGCTGGGTTTCATAAGTGGTTCTCGTTTCTCGTTTTTTATAAAGATTAGACCGTTGGTTTTCCTGTTTGAATTGTTTTACACTAGTCTTTTTGGGGCCCTTTATATAGCTTGCTTTTCGGTGTGAGCCAAGGCTCCATGTTGAAGGCCGTACTTTGGCCTATAATTGTTTACCCTTTACACATTGTGATTTGGAATGATAGTTGTCTCATTGGCACTCATACCACATCTTCCTATCTATATTGAATTGCAGGATAAAACAACATATGTACATCGTCGGAAACATAAAAACATATTTGTACTCGCTACGAAACAGGAGAAAAGCTTGGCGAGCCTCTCTTTTCGTCCTGTTTCTAGAGCTCGTACAAATAAATTTAATATTTTCCGACCATGTACATATATTTTATATATATTGTCCTGTTCACGTAAGTTTTGGTCAATGTTTCCTGTAAGACATTTAGTTATGGATCGAGCTTACTGCATATCTATTTTATTATTCAAAAGCAAAAAAAAAAAATAGCTGCCGTTGTCTTGTTAGTATATAATACACATTTATACACAGAAGGAAAATCCTGGTACACTACAATTTACCAGTTATTCGTATCAGTCATCACAATAGCATATGACATCTGTTGATTAATCTGCTTATATTATACAGTAATGTAATAATAAGTTGTCAAATCACATGATTAATATTTCTATATGTGTATTCTCCCTTCAGTGACCATTTCATTACAGACATAAATCACATGATGAATATACATCCTTCAATAATCGTTTTATTATACGGACAAAGCATATAATATGTACTTCCTTTGGTGGTCATAAATAAAATGTAATGCTAGATTCTGGAAGTCCTCGTTTGTTTGATTGAAAAGTGTCTGCCTTGCACAACCAGCATTACTACTTGTTGGAGGTATCTTAGTCAAATATACAGACATATACTATTAATAACCACATTTAAAGCAGTAATCAAAAAGTCGACACATATGGTTCATTTATTTAGAGAACCAAAGTGTGTCAAAATCAGGTCTTACTAATTATTTTTTCGATTTAAAGAAACAAATTTTCTCATGTTCACCCTGTAGATCAAACAAGTTAGCCTCTTGTTTTGTATTGAATTTAGTTTTTCAAAAAATACTCTTTTCGTTTTGTTTCGTTTTGGTAAATTTCGTTTCGTTTTGTTTCGTTCCGTAACAGGTACAAAATATACCCACATTTTAGTCCATTCCCCATTCCGTTTTATTTTAATCAAAAATCTAAAAATTCAAACTTTTAATAAGCGAAATGATCAAAATTGCACGTTATGTTTAGATTTTTAAAGTTTGATAAAATATATAAACTATTAAATTTTAAAACGAATTTCAGAATTTAGAATTTTAATTATTTGGTGAAATTTTCAAAATTTCAAAAATTTAGAATGTTGATATTTTTAAACTTTGACCAAAAATCCAAAAAACTAAAATTTCAAAACATTTTAGAAGTTGGAATTGTAAAGTGTTACACGGACCATTATCATTACTTTTTTCGGTTGATATTTGAGTAATTATTAAAATTCATCAAAGATATCAGGCTAATAATTTTGTACGAATGAAGTGACTTTTTTTTCATTAAATCAAAAAATCTTGACAGAGACGAAACAATACATTGGGTTTTATTTACCTGTAGATGTCTTTTGGTAATTTGTGTCGTGACGTTGGTGCGCGTAAGTGTGCGTGATGGACGTGAAACAAACTACCAGCGTTGTGCATATAATTGTAATGTGTTTTCCTTTTTTTTTGGGGGGGGGGGGGGGGAGGGGTGGGGGTCTTTGTTTGTTTTTTGATGGGTATCTTGGAGGAAGGGGTTCTCGTATAAACACAATGGTTAGTTGAACGTGTTACGAATAATAAACGTCTCTTAAATCAGACACTCTCAAACAACATACTGAAAATCAGTTATACTTATCTGAAAGCAGTTGATCATACCTCTAAATAGTTCCGAAAAAAGGTCAGAGTTGATCGAACGTTATCACAGACTTCTGGATATTTGCCTCTTTTCGGTAAAACAATGTCATTTTGTTATTTATTTATATTTCGGTCAGTTTCTTAATTGATGAAAAATTAGTGATGAACATTTTGTGAAATGTCTCGAGACTTTGCCCTAGGACTTACTTAAAATATCAAATGTTTCATTGTATTATCCTTCACAGGAATATTTATACATTATCAGTAAACATATCGCTTTTATTACTCCTTAATTTGTTTTAGTTGAAATGAAATATTGTTTCTTTCATATTTGATCATACTACATGAATCATATTAGCTCAAACTCGTTACATTTGCGCAGTATCATAGCAGTCGTTTTCATTTATTCACCCAAAGTGAGAACATATAAATGTACCTATTTGTTTTATGAGAAACGACTTTACGGTTTCTTTAACATGTCATATTTGTAACATACAGCAACTCATTTCAAGTAGAAACAATAAATATTATCGTTGCTCTTAAGAGATGACATGCTTGCTGTGGTGTTGGTTGATATCTATCATCTTGACTAACTACGTAGTCCCTCTGTTGGGTAACTAATAGGTAGGACCGAATTCCAATAAAAGAGTTAAAACGTAGATGTAACCTTTCCCAAAACCATACTTATTTAAATTTGGTACCAAATAGAACAAATTCGTATTATAAACCCTATTGTGTTAACAGTCAATTATAACCCATTTATTGCATTGTAAATCCAAGATGATTATGTATCAAGGACGGCAAGTTTTTTCTTCGGGTTACTATAAAACATAATTTTGACAAGACAATAATAAATATGAATCCTTTCTCGAAATGGTCCAATTATTATTATTTGGATATAAATAGACTAAACGATAATTTATGTCACTGATTGTAGCTTTATGAATGTTTCCTATAAGTTTATAATTTAAATACGAAAGAAAATTACAAATATTTGAGATAATCCACACGAAAAAAACAATTCTAGGGGCTACATTGTATTTGAGAACAAGTCAGATCAAAACTGTCGTTCCTGATTGATAGTCCAGACTAGAATTATGATATTTCCTATAACGTATACTATAGTTAATATAGACTCCATTGGACTGAATGAAGTTTCCATAGTTTTTACAGTAACTGCAGTTTCAGTAAAAAATAAAAGGATATGGAGTAAATGTACATGGGACAAAATCGCACACAATACATAGAAAACATAGAAAATTATCAATGAACATGGTTTTTATTCCTGATCTTCAGGCACAGTTGACCTTAGTTGGATTTGGTTATTCTTTGTATGTCCATTCGGACGTATTTAAATGTTTGGGTTTTAGCGTTTCTGATGTATGTCCATTCGGACGTATTTAAATGTTTGGGTTTAAGCGTTTCCGATGAAGGTAAATTCAGAAGAGCACTTCGAACGCAACAAATGTATAAGGTGTTATTTTCATGTTCTATGTAATGTAGTAAAACATTTTCACAGTATAATTTTTTTCTTTTTCAGTAACAATAAGTGGTGCACCATTTAAAGGATTTTTCATAATAGCAGCCGAAGAAGGTTCAAAAGACTGGCCAAGCGGTACATTTAGTTCCCAAGATCCTCTCAAAGGTAGAACAGTGTGGTGTTCTGTTCGAAATGATGCAGCAACACATTCAAACGACAGATGGAAAGATGCCGTCACGTTACAGTGGTGGGGACCAAGTTTTAGTCCAGCAGATATGATTAGATTTGTGTAAGTTATTTAGTAACACCAATACCAGTTATAACTAACGACACGTGGGCTTTAAACTTTAAAACTTTAAACTTTAAAAAATAAAGTTGCCGTATAAAAAAGGAACAAGTTCCGTAAGGGCCTTATTTGTTCCCGAATGTTAAGTCCATTTTTGCAAGATAAAAAGTTTTCACCCAAAAACGCCAAAAAATGTGATGTTGGTGAATTTTGACAAAAATCAACCGGATTTTGACCACATTTGGACTTAGGAGACATAGGGCTTAGGGTTCGGCAAACTAAATATTAAAGCCAGATATATTTTGTTTTTCTGTAAATTGACTGTTTATAGCATGATGAATAATGTAAACACTTTAAGATACAAAATATAGTATTGAAGAAAGATTAAAGTCTTAAAGAAACGTATGTACATTTACTTACAACACTCAAACTGTACATAATGAATACAAGGAGAAGTAGGGCATTTGTCAATGCCTGCAAGCCTACCGGCAAGAATAACTAAAAGACATCAAAAGAGCAGCTTGTAGTCTTCAACAATAGACAGGTGTTCATACAATTAGTCACGATCTGAATTGTCCCGAGTACATAAAATATGCATTTTATGATTTTTAACAGAAACAATCATCAACGAATTTCCATGATACCAAATTCTTATTACCGTTTGGGGGTATCGGACACGTTTGAGGGGACGGACACGTTAGGGAGTGTTACATATATTTTGAACGTAGCAATTTATGTATCATATAATGTTTCATCGTAAAGTGTTTCTCCGACTGTTAATTATAAATCTAAAAAGATAAATATATCATCCATTTAACTTTTTTTTCCTGACACATAAGTAAAAACAATATATTGTATTCCTGGCTTTGGCATGTTTGGGTTTGGGCACTCCTAATGATGGTAAATCTAGAAAAGCGATTCGAACGCATGACAGTTATGAAGGTTTTTTTTATTTGCTGGTACTATAATAATATCAAATGAAAATTATACACATTGCAGAGCTACAGTGGTTACAAACAGAACAACATACTGGACAGACATTTTAGGACCAGTGATGACACAAGGTCAAGCCGCAGGTAACAATACAAAATATAAGGGACAGACGACTATAAGTGGAATATAAAAATCTCACTGCAAAACTGCAAAATAACCATTCCCATATATTTATAAATTGTGGAAGTACTTGATGGAAGCAAGATGAAAATGCAGAAAAAGAGATGAAAACTTACTCGATTATTTGTAGTAGATCTACACTTTATTATAGAAATTAAAATATGGGAGGCGTTTGATTCCTACCATTAACTTGGTTGACAAAACCAATGAAATTTAACTTAAAACTGTAATTGTTCGAGAGTATACTTTATAACGGACAATTTTATTGTTCGATAGCCGACAATTCTATTGTTTGAGAGTTGACTGATATGCAATGCACACATTAACATGCAAAATAGCATAGTTAAACCTCTCACGAAAACAAGTTACTAGTATTACCTCTTATTTTTAGGTGTAATAACAAAAAATATATAAAACCAGTACTAATTGTTCATTCCTTTTTAATTCCAGTTTTAAACCGTATCATTTCTTAACGTTATAGATTAATGCTTTAGAGCATTTAGTGTAAGCTTTAGCATAATGTTAGAAGATCTATAAATTTTTGAAATCAGTGAAAACTTTGAATTATTGTTGAAGAATAAAACGCGCAAATATAATAAGTAAAGATAATTATCTCGATTACTCTTAAATGTTTATGTTTTATACGATAATTTTATCGATCTTCTAAAACAAAGTTGGATCCAGATATATATGGCGAATATAACAATTATAGGAATGACTATTTACGGTCAGTTAATTATTGCGTTGTGGACAAAGGAGAAGGTACATTTTAGTGCCCAAATGTCCCGGTATTCTAACAAAAATGTTAAGAGGAGGTAACTCACAAAAAATATAATTTACAAAGGACCCCATATTTTCTTTTATTATCTGCAAACATTTTATAAGATCTATCTTCACAGATATTGTTTCAAAACTCTGTCATTTAGTTTACCTACTAATTCACATTATGATGCTTGTTCTCTGTATAACCCATACAAAATATGTCATTTAGTCACAACCTGTAGCTTGAAAACAAACATGGTCACCTATTATTTATCATATTTTTGAACACATCAGAATATATGCTACATTAACAAATGATGTCGTTTTTGTTTATATTCCCATACCACCTTAATGTAAATCTTTGGCTTATAACCAACGTATAAAAACTATTTTAAGCTGAAATAGCTATGTTTTGTTGCAGTACACGGATTTAACGTTTTAAAATCGTAAAATTTGAAAAAAATGAAAAATTACTTATTATTGCAAATTTGTATCTTCTCCTTTGAAAAGAGCATTTATAATGTTTTATTCGTTACGGACGATCTGGATCCAACATTTCAAAGCATGCCATAACTGTATTCAAGTGATTGTTCTGCCTTTCACCGCTGTAACAACAATTGTTATTTCAGAATCAGAAATAGGTATATGCATGTTATTTATTTTGTCAAAGCAATGGCAAAGTCTTTTTCAAGAGTTAAGGTGGTACCAAACACCTTGACTAAAATTTTGACAAAATACTTACTTTGAACCTTTGACAAAAATATTAAAATTTCAAAAAACTTGAACCACACACTTTATCGGAAAAAATTCATTGGATGTGTAGCAGTTTGACAAACACTAATTTTGATCATTGAGAAGCTTAATATTTCCTTAACAATAGAACGTGATTAAAACGTTCAGCTGATTTTTACAGAGTAATCTCCCTGTAGTGTTATGTACCACCTTAAATATTCTAACACATCTATAAGCATCCTGATATTTTACTTCACTGGGTAATGAGTGTCTATGAATGATATTCACTTATGCAAAACCTTTTTCTTTTCTTTTTACTTTCCTTTTTTGTTTTATAGCATGAATCATTACCCTTCTAAACCATCTTAGGATAAGCGTCTGTTTGTATATTAAGCACTAATCTTGATACATGTTACAGTACTAGTATACGAAGACAAAAAATCTACATTGTGATGAAAAGATGTCATATTGTTGAAAACTTTGCTGTTGTTTTGCGAGCTGAGATGTTGCCTGGGCATGTAAAAACTGCGGTATTTTGGGACGTCTGGTGTGAATTGACAGTAACACTTTGACTTATCCTACATAAGAATTTTCTAACTGCATTTATGTAAGAAAGGCGACATGTTCTTTATGTGTTGAGTAATCGTAGAACGTAATGGAATCTTATAAAATGTGTTAAAAGAACAGTTTATTTTTATGATATGACGAAAATTAACAGGAACAAATTGATTATATCATCAAAACAGTGGTTAATGTGTAATCCCGTAATTTTGTTTTATCCAGATAGATATGCTGGGTATTGCAGATCTGAAACACAATTTCAACATTATTTTTTACCATTTCATCCATATTAAATGCTTCTTTATCCCTGTATCAAACATCAACACAGTTTTTTATACTTAAATTCAGTCTGACGAAATCCAGACATACATAAGAGGACTTGAAATTCACATTCCTCTTTTTTTTTCAGACTATGGTAAATATTAGTATTCTTTTTATACCCCAAAAATGCTTTTATACACATCTTCATAGTCAGAATAGCTTAAGAATGAATACTTGTATAGAATTGACCACTTTAGGCTGACATGTGACTAAGACATAAAATTGGCGTATATATCATAATTATATAAGGGGAAATCTCGACAATGTCATGTATATGTGACAATTAAAAAAAGAAGCGTTATATATATATATATATCAATATAAAATGGTTTATATGAAGAACTTTATATAAAGAGTATATACATATATATCTTTGGGTATACGTAGAAATATTACTACGCATAAAGAGTGGTTTAGGGAAGCTAGACTTATAGGTGTAAAGTTTATCTAGGACTTTATTATATGTTCTTTTTTATATTAGAAACAATTTCCAATGAAATTAATCAATAAATAACAAATCAATAACAGTACAAGGGAAACAATCATTATGAATAAACTGTATGTAGAGTCATTGCATTAAAAACAGACCAAAAAAAAAAATGACAATTTTAAAGCATAATTTGATTTCAAAATCTACTACCTATATACGTTAAATTTGCTTATTGTAGGATTTTCGCTCGTCATAGGTATCAAAATATTCAAATTTTATGAAGTGAAAATCATTGCTAAAATCAAAATCTTCTAAATGTGTATCACCCGATCAGCTTGACTTTAATGTTGTACAAATACAAAAATGGGATATATCATTTATAAAATATTAAAACGCTCAATCATTTACCATTTGATACGCGACAAATTCAAAGATAAAGCAATCTGCAAATAAAAAAATTTTTTAAATATTTAAATTATCTTTATATAGATTTAAAAGAAAGAAGTGCTTTACCGAAAACATTCATTTGACAAATACATATCTTTTTGACGCTATTTAGCAACCTTTATTCCTCATTTATTATAATTAGGATTTCAATTTGTCATTACCGATTTCTTCAAATGAACACCAGACTAGTGCTTACATTTTCCAAATTTTTCATCGAAATAATATCATTTATCACATAAAATCATTAAATTTGACATTATTTGCTATTGAATTAAAGCAGTTAGGATGTTCATATAGAAATTGAAGCAAGCAAAAGCTTTTCAGATTTTTGCGTATGCCGTTTTCCAGGATTTTGATGTGTGTGCATGTGCAGGTGCATGTAAGGCTGCTTTGTTGCTGATGTGTTGCTGATTCAGATCATTTTAAAACTCATCTAAATATTTTCCGGCAATTTCATACACATTTGAAACTTTTTATTATTTTAGTCCCCCATTCCGGTACTGTAAACCAACATATTTTCGCGAATACTTTATTTTGCGCATAGCCCTTCCAACTCGACTTCGCGGAGATTTATTTTCTTGGTGTATTTATATAAGGGTAGACCAAAGTTTTACATATCGCGATAATTAAAATTCGAGTTATTTTTCTCCTCGCGAAGTTCGCAAAAATAAATCGCTCGCAAAAATTAGTTGGTTTACAGTTTTATTGATTCTTCATTCATTTATATATTTTTGACATCATTACAACAATCTGATAAGTTTAATGTACAACATATATGTTTTAAGGGATTATTCTACAGCCAAGACAAGAATTAGTGTCTCTCCTCTGTTTCAAAATAACAAGCTTTTAAAGAGACTGTTATAGATTGATAGTATATATATTACGGAACTAAAAAAGCAGAAAAACATGTTGGGTCCGTGTACTTGTTTTTGAACTATATGCCATTGAAATTTTGGCGGGAAATGAATCTTTCTAGATTTTTAAAACATTTAATACTGTCACCTTTTTTCTTTCAAAAACTATGAAAAAATAATAATGATTTTATAAGATTTTCAAAAATGGCTTTTTAAACTATATGTAATAAAATTATGAAAAGAAAATTAGGGATTAGAGGGCAACATTTTTATTCGCACTGCATTGATAAAACTAGAGAATTCTGAATATCTGACAAAAAAATCAAAAACAGAGTAACGAAGATCCTTAAGGGATTACTCTACAGCCAAGGAAGGAATAAGTGTATTGAGCAATATGATAAAATCATATTGGCATGATATTTCAGAATTTAATTTCAATTCTGACGGGCGTAAAACAAAAATGTCAAAATGGTGTTACACAAATGTTCGATACCGATTCAAATGCGCTCATTGAATAAGGAAAATTAGGAATTGCTAATATATTTATACTAACCTGTCAATTCACCGTTAACTACAAAATAATAAGGCAAAACAAAATCAAAACAATGCTACACAAATACCAAAAAAATGTAAATGAAAAAAATACTGCAGTTTTGAAACTAGGCACATAGCAGTACATAATATATATGTTTTTACAGCTTTATAAACATCCTTCAATTTATGAGACCTTTCATAACACGAACATGTGTTTGCATTTTTTATTTTTGCTTTTAAATATTTGCATAATATTGAACTTATGCTGCCAAAACAAGAATTTCTCCGGACGCAGTCAAAAGCCTGTTAAGTCCAAAAATAATAAACGTATTTTACATTTCAGAAGGAGCAGTCGTAGAAGGTGGTGGAGGTTTATTCGCAGGAACAGGAAGAGATGCATGGGGATACCCAACGACTGCATCATGGATGAGCAACAGCAGAGGTGGAGGAGGAGTGGGAGGAGGAGGAGTAGGCGGAGGCGGAAGAGGTTTTTCAACAGGTGTTGGGGGATTTAACAACAATAGAGGGTTTAATAGATTTGCCGGTGGAGCAGGAGGAGAAGGTCCTACTAAACCAGCACCGACAGAAGGAGGGTCAATATGGAATGAATCACCACGTCGGGGGAATTCGTTTGGTCGTGGTGGAGGTAACGCGGGTAGAGGATCTACGAATAATGCATTCCTACAAATGGTGAAATCCTTATTTGGAATGAAGTAATGAATGAAACGTGTGTGATACAAATAAATACAATTTAAATATAGATCGGAAAATATTTGTCCACATATTTCAGAACAGGATATTTGGACATAATTTAATATGAGCCTGAGTTAGCTGCTGTTTATTGAGAGGCGTCTTTTTCATTAAAGATGCAACATGAAGTCCCTCTATCATTTTAAATGTTATTTATCTCCATGTCAGGAGGTTATCTCATATTGCAGCTTTGATTATAATTTGACAAGTGAGTGTTCATAAATATTCGCGATTTCCATTTTTTCCCATAAAATCTATATAAAATTTTGTTTGTTTTTTTCTTATATATATATATAATTTCTGAAAAGCCAATTGTTCGTGTGGTTTAAGAAATCAGCACCATCAATCTAAGAAAAGTCTTCAGTTTGTTTGTTTATTTGTTTTTTCCCCCGCACATGGAAGGTGCGTTCGAGTTCAATCTTAATTGACTAGGATTGTCAGTTTGCATGCCGAAGTTCGGTGGTTCTCCCAAGGTATTCCATCTTCCTCCACCAATAAAACCTGGCTTATACCAAATAGCCAATAGTGCTGAAATCGGCGTTAAACACCAAAATTATACATAAATCAATCAATCAATATTTTTTCTGGACATTTTTTTTCTGATGATTTCTGGAGGAAATTAAAAAAACAATAATTAACAAATTTGTACTGTCAAAACATTTGTTTTGTGGTTTTTATCATCAGAAGATTAAAAGTCTCCATAATCCGAATTGCGTGTAAACAAATATATTCATTAGTTGTTATTGGCTTTGAACAGTAACTGCGAGTACTCTCAGATCTGTACTTAGTGTCTTTTTGTTTTTGGGATGTATAAGTACCCGTCCACTTTGTGTTTTTTTTAGATTTTTTTCTATTTGTATCCATCTGATGAGTTAAGCCTTTTTCAACTGATTTTTATAGTTTGTTCTTATGTTGTACTGTTACACCACTGTCCCAGGTTAGGGGGAGGGTTGAGCGCTCACAAACATGTTTAACCCCGCCACATTCTTTATGTGCCTGTCCCAAGTCAGGAGCCTGTAGTTCAGTGGTTGTCGTTGGTTCATGTCTGTCATAATTGAATTGTTTCATATTTTTCATGTCGGAGCCTTTTATAGCCTTTTTCTATGACTGTGGTTTTACTGATAAAAGAGAGAAGGCTCATCCTAACCACTGATTACAGACAGACGCGGGACGTTTGTGCTTTTTTTACCTGTAAAACTAAAAACATTTGCGCTTTTAACTTTGATACACCTGAACAAAATTGACAAGACATTTGCGCTTTTTACCTATAATAGTTGTATACCTGTAATCTTTAGAAAATTTGCCAAAGTCATGGAAAGATGTTCACTTATTCTTTGAATGTTCATCAGAACAAACGAGAAATTCAGAAAAAAATATTCGGCTAAACCAGACATATTATATAGAATATAGTATACGTTTCTAGGGCGCATTAGATTTGCGCGCATTTGGGGATTAATTTCTGTTTACGTTTGCGCGCAGCCTTTGCTTACATTTGCGAATATTTCAGAGTAAATAGCATTCTGTTTCATTATTTCACCGAATGGCAATTTAATGAATAATTTAATTCTGTTTGTAAAATTGCCAAGACACACACACTGAGTTTCGTATGTCGGAAACAAATCGGGGGAAAGGGGGGGGGGGGGGATTTGTGTACGATGGAATTACTTTCCGTATAGACAGAACACTTAAGTCAGGGGATATTTCTTAGAAATGCATCGTAAAAAATTGCAAAGGTATTTCATCGGATTCCCATTTTCCTCCAAGTCTTTGGGCATCCTGTATATTTTTGAGCATGTGACGACGTGTAAAATTAATACTTTTAATCTTTAGATTTACATTTTTTCTGCATTTTTTTCTGTATATTATTCCAGGACTAAGTGCGTGTGCGCTGGGAACAATTTCGTCATATTTTTCGAGAACTTCGTTTTGACAAGAGAAAGAAAAGATGGACTTCGTTGTTGGCAAGTACAACACGTATAGAAAAGATGAAATGACGAGAAAGGAATATATCATTTGAATTGTTTTACATGACGATGGAAGTTTTTAACGACCTTGACTGGCTGTACAGCCCTTGCACGGTCCGTTGTTTTACATTTGTTATTTCGAGGCCTTTTATAACGGACTATGCAGTATGGACTTTGCTCATTGTTGAAGGCCGTACGGTAACCTATAGTTGTTTATTTCTGTGTCATTTGGTCTCTTGTGGAGAATTGTCTCATTGGCAATCATACCACATCTTCTTTTTTATATATCAGATGTGTAGCATATAAAATACTTGGCAAGAACAGATAATAATTAATTCATTGTAATACGTTTTTATGGATTTTATTGTGGTGCTTTAAAATGCTGTAAATAGAAATTTACTCCGCGATTTGTATTGATGTAAGCAGAATGCACAGATATCTTTTAAATTGACTTATCCTGCTCGAAATTCTACTCCCACCGTCCCTTTGTGAGCAGGGGACAACAGTTATATACATTATATAGTTGACAATTCATAACATGTATATGTATAGCTGGATAACGGAAGAGGTTTATATGATAAATCAAAAAAATAACTTTCACCTATAATTTACCTGTACACAATCGGCTCAAATGAAAGACAAAATAGGCGCAAGTGAAAGAAAAAAAGTGAAATGCAGATCGACGCAAATGCAAAAAGACGAGTTCAACATTTATATTTCATTATTTTATTAGTACGGAAGTCACAGATAGTGTAGTATCTTTTGTGTCCATTCGTGTTTAATTTCCACTAAATATCAGCGCGACGCTTAATTCCACTTTTCTTGGAAGACGTAATTTTAAGCGTACACCATGTTGGAATCCGTGAAAAACGCGAAATAGGACGTTTTAATTTGAAGTTTTTTCATGGTTAGAAACAACGTCATAGAGCTTTTATGTCACTACCAAGTTGCGTTAATTGATGCGCTTAAACAATAGGCTGTTTGATTTTTGCGCGCAAATGTAATGGTAATGAGCACAAGTGTAATGCACCGGTTTCTCGGTAAACGATAGAGAAAACGAAACTTTTAAGTATAGAACAATTAAATTTTGACCGAAATTGTTCAATTAGCCTTCTTATTAGTGGATTAAAATTGGAAACAATATTCCTCTTGTGGTTATTCTGTTGCATGAATAGTTCGAGGAACTGTACCATCATAGTTTATCTAAAATTGCTTCAATTTGTGAAGACCGAAATTTTATTTTTAAATCACCTGCTGTACCTGTTGAATTTTAGAAAGAGTCATGGTTATTATAAGGAATTTACTCCAATCAACTCTCTTGGAATGTTGTCGTTTTCATCTGACACAAGCATGACGGGGAAAGGTTGATGCTTTTAGCTGTATATAAATGTATGAATATTTTGTGTTTTTTTTTTTATATTAAATGATTTTTTATGTTAGTTGAGAAAGCGCAAATGTCATGTTTTAAAAAGTGCAAATGTCATAAGCATTTAAGCGCAAATGTCCATTAAAAAAGTTCAAATGTCCTGTCAAAAAGCGCAAACGTCCCGCGCCGGACCAGACTTAATAATCAGAATACAATATTTCTTATACCAATTGATATACCTGCAACTAGTTGAAGCGTGTTATTATTTCAATGAGAATGGACATAAATGCTTTCATTGAAGACCCATTGGTGGCCTTCGGCTGCTGTCTGCTCTATGGTCGGGTTGTTGTCTCTTTGACACATTCCCCATTTCCGTTCTCAATTTTATTTCATTTTTTTTCTTTTTTTTTTAATTCAACCCTTTTCTTTTTTTGTTTTTTTTGTGTTTTTTTTTTTTTTTTGTGTAAGGGACGTTACCAGACGGTCTACATAAGTCTCATCAGCGGCGCTCGAATCAAAACAGTTGAAAAGCAAAATCGAATACAAAGTTGAAGAATATTAATAATCAAAAATTTCGAAAAGTTGTGCCAAATACGGCTTCAGCAATCTATACTTGCGGTAGAACAACAGAAAACGGCAGATCTCATCAACACCTTAAACTCGACTTCTGTTCTTTCTCATCAAGAAATTGCAGCCCATTTTTGGACAAAAGGGCATGGGATAATAATAACAACTATGAAAGTAACCTAAACACGTGAAGAGCTATGATATCCAAAAGAATCAAAACATAAAGCATACCAATAGATATTTCTTTCTGATTCCTTTAATTGATGTTTCTCTAATTTTTCACTGTTTTCACATTTCCCAAACGATTTTGAAAAAATTGTTCTCCTCACTAGTGAAATGTCTGTTCTCGGCAAATGATTGGTAGAAATTTAATTATGACGTCAAATTTTCTTGGTTTCTTCTGATTTTTCTATTGTGGCGTCATGAAAAAAGGAGACCATGTCTGATGACGTCACATAAAAAGAGCACAACTTTCTTCAAATCTTCAAGTTGAAAAAGGAAGGATACAAATTATTAGAGAAACAGATTCCACCACTATAACGCGTGTATTACGATATTTCTCCACGCTCAACAGTTAAATGTTAATTATATAAAAAGCTCGGCAAGCCTCGCGCTTTAAATATTAAAATTTAACTGTCTCGAGTGGAAAAATATCGTAATACACGTGATGCAGTGTTGGAATCTATATATCACCTTATGGATTTATCATATTTTGTCATTCTCAATTGGGCGTTCCTCTGAACTCCAATGAAAAAAAAACAACAGAAACATCGAGCTCAACAAACGCTATGTTAAGCTTTGATATATATGGACCTCCCGACATTTCAGCACTGTTCTGGTGTAGTTACTACTTGAATGAGATTTAGTGATAGGTCAGGAAATGGCTATTGGAATAAGTATCAATCTAGTACTATCACTTGTCTTTGTATTTTAGAATAATTGTGTTTGTTTAAGCAACAACTTTCCATGAATAAAGTATAAATTCTAAGTTCAAATTAAACAACACACGAAAATTGATCAAAGGTTGTACGATTGAATTGTAAAACAATGATCAAAAGAACTATTATATACAACGTCATGCATAATAAGTTCAAATAGAACTTTCTTGAAAGACGGATGGGATGCTGCTAACGGAGAAGTTACTGAACCAAGGAATCTTTAAAATTGTAAGGTTAAAAGGGAAAAATCATGAACTGCTGGACAATCACATAAGGTTTGAGGAATGGATAACCACTGTTATTTATCATTTGTCGTAGCGATAGCCCGTTATCTCTTTGTTCATTCTTGACTCATTTACGAATTATTACTGGAATTTTTATCATCGTAAGCAACTGGACAAATTGTGCGATACAATACTTAGCATTTCAGAG